TTACAGAAAAGAAAATAAGGGACTTGTGTATAATCGATATTATTATTCATGGACATTATTACGAAGATTCAATTAAAAGTAACTTTATCAGAGAGTTGAAGGCTGAATTATCTAAATACGACGGTAACGTGTCGAAACAAGATGGAAACACAGCTCAAGGATAATTGATTGACTAGTATTTAAATTCCAATTATTAAAAAAGCAGCAGCAATATTCTTCACTGCATAAAATATGCATCTTTGAAGGAAGACGCAGGTCTTCAGGGACCCTCCGACCTTCCGAAGAAGATAAAATTACCTCTCTCCAACGGCTTGCCGTCCAGCACCACGGGTCTTCACTATTAGAACCTCTACTTCGCTTAAAACCTTTTAAGCAAGCTCTTAAAATAAAAAAATTCAGAAAGAGTCAACCAATTTTTCTTAAACGACGCTCCTGCATCTGCTGGCTTGGAAATTAATGTTCGTGTAATGCACGCACTTTGAGAATTTTTATAACTTACTATCATCGAATAGTCTTATAAAGAAGCCAGATTTTTCGATCATTTCAAAACAAAATTGACATATCCCGTTGATAATTGCGTGCCTACGTTAAAAATAATATGTAAATAATAGGATCAAATATGTCTCAAAACCAAATCACTATGAAATAAGCTCATTCGTCCAATATACATTGTTATCTGTTTGACTAGTGTTAAATAATCTTTGTTATACCTTATAATAAATATTGGAATACATCGTTTGCAGATTATAATTCAATAAAAAGAAAATCTTTCTTTTCTAACTTCTGTGTTCAAAACATGATTTTCTAAAGTTTTATCGTATAGATATCATTCAATGCGGTAAGTATTATATTTCATCGCATATATATATATATAAACGATTTTAATAATCGAACGATATTTCGGAAACGGACGAAGAAAAAATGAGTGCTACAAATACATTCAATGCGGAACAATGCTACATGAGTACGTAAATAAAAATAATAATACCGGTACGCTGTTGCTCATATATTCCAATAGCTCCGACAACCATAAATTCGTCATCATACGCAAGATTTGAAAAATCGTATCTCAGCCAGCATTTTGGATCTAATATGTAACTCAACTGTGCAAAGTTGGAGACACGTTGCACAGGTGAAATTCGTTCGTCCGCGGAAGATTGTCGAGTCGATCGTGGCGGGAGAAAATCGCGGATGGTCCTGACAGGCGGAAAAAATATTTTCCCGGTCACGTAATCGGTGTTTTCCATCGCGGAACATGCTACCGGTGCGTCACACACGTCGGACGAAGCCCACGGCACAGTTTAGAAGGCGTACCCGGCCAGTTGGACGCCTACCACGAGGCAGCCGGTGTCTCCTTTTCAAGTGGCCGCGGTCTTTTTACCGGCGGTAATTTTCTAAAAGGTACCTTTCCCTCGGCGCGTCGGTGCGTGCATTGTTGCAATTGCACCAGAACGCCCGGAGCGTGCGAATGATGGACGCGTCGCTTTTCTTTCCTCGTCCCCGCGGATCTAGAGTGCTCTACGGCCGAACGACGATCGATATCTGTCCGGTAATTGGGATTTTATTGCCAGGAGGGAAATCATGTTGCGTGTCCGACCGTACCGCATCTGATGAAAGTATGACACCTGTGATGAAACCGATGCGTTTCGGTCCGGACGGTAGAATATTAATGCGTCTGCGGGTACTGTTGGCTCGTTGAATCGCGGACGAAGTCGATCATTTTATGGTTCAATTGGCCGATATTGATATTCGCGGAAGCATGATTCGTGGAATTGTTGGAGAAGGGACGTCTGACCAAGGGAACGTGGTGCTGCAAATTTTAAGCTCGAATGGAAGTGGAATGTTCATTGATTCATTAATAATTCTATTAAGGTGTAAATAATGTAGGAACATCTTAAAATTGTGCCACTTTTTTTCAGTAAAATCTGCTATTTAATAATCGTTACGATCGACATAGCTTTGCCAAGGTTACGAAGCACTAATTGAAGCAATCTGATATAAAAGAATAATATAAATGAAGTAAAAATTGTCCAACGCGATTGCAAGAAACAGAAATGAAATGGAAATAAATGATTATCTTTTAATAATTTCGACAAGTTCAAAGTACTGTAATGGTATTATCAAATTCTTTTTATATCTTCATAATTGTTAACTCACTTTTAAAAATGAAGTAACTAAGAATCTATCGAAACAAGCAACAAAATGATGATAATGATTACAAAGTAAGAATCCAGTTAATGATCATTTAATAATAATCTAGCTACATACCGTTAACTATATGACACAAAGTGCAAATAATAATTATCATAGAGAAAGGTGCCAAATCCTGAACAACTGACACAGCCATGTTGCAGTAATAATTAACTTTAACCGCTCACGGAGGACTAATGCAACCGAAACGGCATTCTCAGGGCTCTGCATCGGATTCTTTTCATCGAACGAATTTTTTTTCTTCTCTGTGTTTTTAATATTTTTCTGCGGTCTTTTTTTTGCAACGTTCGATGGTCATAAATAAACGTAATTACGAGTGGAAATGGATACCTGCTGAAAGCCACAAGCAGGCGAAAAAGGTCGCGAGCATTGAGAGGGCATTCTTTCGACAGAGTGCAATATCTCATTCAAAATTTATTGCGTATGAGGAGTGTCGATTCTATGTGGCAATCACGAACACTGCCACGGAAATCGCCGGGGCGACAGAACGACCGCTTTGTCGCTCTTCTCGACAGTGACGTAATTCGTAGGAAGAAACTGCAACGGCGTGAAATATATACGCAGACCTGGATATTCGCGGCACGACCTTATCGACGATGATTCACCTGATCATCCGTCTTGTTTTCAGTGTGGACCTCGGATATTCGTTTCGTTGGCACCGAGTTCTTCCACATGACTCCAGTAGAATGTAAATAGCTGCAATTATCATCGTCCTATCACTTCAGAACTAACAAACGTCGATTCACAGGCTTCGACGTTTTTCTGGGGTATTTCTGAAATATTTTTTGTCGCAGCAATTCGCATTTCAAGAAGTTTCATTTCAGTCTGATGTATTTTTATGATTTAGTTCTTCAGCCATTTGCGATAAATTTCTTGGCAAAATAAAAATCCTCTAAATGCGTTTCAGGATACAGGAACCAAAAATATATGCAATTTATCAAGGTCCGACAGATTGTTTTATTTTTCCTATGACTTCTAGGTAAAAACAAAGCGACTGAAAAAAGTCCCGTTGAAACCTGAAGGGTTCGCCAAATTTTTCCTTGAATATTATTTAACATTTATACATCTTCAATTGCATCTGCTCATTCTTATCACATACTCTCGATAGAAAAAGACTGCGCACACCTTTTGCAACGGAACAACATTTTTAAAATTTGACCAAACGATTCAAACTTTGTTGAGTTGTTAGAAGAACTAATTAATTAGATATCGAGTAAAACGTGTTTGTAGACATTTCAATTGATTGGAATGACAAAAAAAAATTGAAAAATGATGTTTTCCAACTATTATATTCAATTGAGAGTGTCTACAAAATACTTCCACGAAACTTATGCAGTTTAAAGATTCTGAAGACCTTGAAGCATTAAGATTTTGACAAATATAGAGTCGATAAAAATAAATAGATGGACTCGAATAACGTAATTGAAATGTTTTAGCTCCGAGTGTGAGAAACGCGTCTGCTAAAAATAACATAAATCCAGACAACTCATGCCCAGAAGGAACTGTTCTCACGATCAGCTGATGGCGTTGACGACGATCTCATTCCAGCGATCCATCGATATCTCAAGTATCGACCCTTTTTTGGTTATCACCTTGATCTATCTATCAACACGATTTAGCGAATTTCTGAAGTACCGCAGCGTTTGATCTTTAGACCGCTATTGTTTTACTGCATTCATGTTTTCACAATGCCGGCAGGCTTTTGCGTTCGCTAGTATAGACACAATAGCGTGTGGCAGTTACTGTTCTGTGATAATCTCAAAATGCACTCTGTGTACAAAAATCTACAACAATTCGGCACGTACAGTACTTAACGTAAAGCTCAGTTATTTTCGTCAGATATTATCTAGAACCTGACTACTGTATTAAAATTACTAGATTTTCAATGTTATTACCATTTTGCGATTCGTGTCAAGTTGGATAATCGTAAAAATATGAAATAATATAGATCTTTGTAGGAGCTGAACATAAAAATATGAGACATCGTCAACCTTCATAAAATACGTACAGTTTCATCCCCCGAGCTGAGTGTAAAAATATAAAACCATAGGAATATTCATAAAAGATGTAAAATCTTGTCTCCAATTGTATTCAAGTTTATAATAAAAGATTAAAATGTAATCATAAAAGATATGACGTTCTTATCAGAATACGAATGTGAAACACGAAACATACTAAAAGCATTAGTTGTATCGTTATCAATTTATTAAAATGATTGAAGAAGGAATTTCCAGCAGTCGATTCATAAATCTTTGATATCGCGTACAAAAAATCTACATTCACAATGCTGCAACATAAAACAATGCAGCCTTCATAAAAAATACACGGTATTCTCGTTATCTCGCGATTCGTCTGAAACAAAATGAATTTTCATAGGTGATAAATAATTACACACTCGCCTTTCAATTCGCTTCATTCGTATCCAATCAGTGACATCGATTTCTCGGAATTCCCGGAACGAAGATGAAAACATGTGTTCGGCGAAGACCGAAAATTCAGGAACTGCACGTAAGGACTCTTCCACGATCGCTCGTCTAACGCAAGCCACCTTGCGTGATCAATAATTAACAATGACCAATCGCAGCCAGGCGGGGGTTAGGTGGAGACCGTTCGAAAGACCGGCGTGCATAAATTCGTAATGTCTTCGCGGAGACAATAATACGCGAAACGCACGGTGACGTAACGTCGCATCGTGCAACGGTGATCGTTGTCGATTAGCATACGTCGGTGATTAATCTAGCGGCCAGCCGAGTTTATCCTGGATACCGGACAAACAGGTAAACACGTGCTGCATCATGCGGACGAGGATTCGAATTACTTATGGTAGTTTAAACCAGTCGGTCGCGGCGCGCGGTTCTGATCAGCTGTGATCCAGGTACGATCATTGTTTTCGTTTTCGGGGATCCTCTGCGGTAGAGTCCTAACAAACCAGCGAAGAGCTTGCGTCGAACCGTTCACCGTCTTTACGGCATCTTTCAACCCTTTACCTAGTACCAGGTGACGTCAACTTCATCTTGTCGTATTATTTCTAGTGACACTCGGACAGCGGAATATTAATGTTATTATTTGACTATTCAGTTTCTGATATTTAATTGGAACTTCTCACGTGTTTCATTAAGTCTATAAAGAAACGACGTAAAATCATAAATGAAATTAGGAATGATCTTGAACATACTGAAACATATTCTTGTAAAAATCTAGAAGGATTCCTTTAAAAAACGGTCCGCTGTTCGAGTCTTAATAAAGTTCAGGCAAATTAAAGTATCATTATTGATTGCAATTGTTGTTAAATGGAACCGAGTTTCGTGGAAGCTCGTTTCAATGAAATTGGCACATTTTTGTGGATTGATACATTATAGAACTTCGATGTTGACGAAACTGAAACGAACAGCAGTACCTGCTGCAATTTGTAAAGAATTGATACTGTAAAGACGCAAGTGAGTAATTTATTCGCTTTTGTATTTCTCGGAACGCTTCCGATGCGCGTGACGCAAACTGTTTGCATCCCGAAGTCTCCAGAAGTCCTCTTGATCCCTGAACTCCTTGGATACCTTCTAGAACTGCGTCTAATAGAGCGCGCGTTAACGAGATCATTTTTCACGCGAGGCGAGGAGTAAATTTAATGACAAAATAAACACCGTTACAGAGAAAGTGCTGAATATGCTTGGCAGTGTCGCGACGGAATGGGAATTCTCGTGCGGTGGCTGACCCAATGACACTAACGAAACACTAATCCCACGGTTAAATAATGCTAAGCGTTATTGCATACTGATTCTTAACTTCGGGGCAGTTAAATAGCATTATTGCAATAATATACGATAGTTTAGTACTTATTCGAATGACAAATACCTTTACTTAGTCACGAAGCATTTTGTGCGAACACATGTAAACACGAACTCGTGGTTATGATAATCTTTCATAGCTTGTTAACATCGCTCGGCGGATTATAGAATTCTAATTGGCTAGAAGATCATGCTGCGGGCATTAATATGTGTCAAAAAGTTGTAACAGGGCGATTTCGTTAAAAGAGAAAACGATGGCTGAAAATGGCAGACATTCACTTTTAAAAGCGTCAGATAATATGAGATAGTCTCTCGACCGTGATGAATTCGGTCTAAAAACGAGTTCGATCTTTTTAGTTGTCACTTGCCTTCACCTAAATCCTAGAAACATATCCGCCGACTGCATGAATCCTTTAATGTTCACAGTCCATCGTTCTCTTGCGAAATCTATCGTCATAATTATGTGCATTTATATACAAATTACAAAGATAATAAATGGTTTTATTTAATTGTAATGTGCCGCATGATTCATGCTGGAAACAGTCGTGAAAACCGCATAGTATCGTTGCTCCCATATGTCGAAGGCGTAATCAGGACACGTGTTGACATTAGAATTTATGAGTCACAGAGCATTCAGGCATTTCTCTTAATAAACACATATATGTTCACGGTTATTTAACCAAACAGTACTGAAAGTACGAACTAATCTGTCAAGCCGGCTTGGCGCGTCTTGTATAAAAACACTCCATTTCATTCAATTAACTCTTGGACTAATGACCAGAAATCTGTACATTCAGATACCCCCCTGAAGTTTCACTATTTAATGTTTGCACTACTTTCTAGAATTCTAGGATTGTGACAACAATAATTCGGCGACTCGTTCGTTCAATTGGAAAGTGAACTCACAATTCTTTTAAAGCACTTCCTAACTGTATTTAAACTGTTACATTTCCACTCACTTTTTAAAAGTATTTAACAAAGGTTTTTAGAAATTGCTATTGAAACCACATTGACATTTAAAATCTAACAATCTTCAAAATTCTTTCTTCTTACATTTTTCTCAATTTTATGGAATTATTGAATGAATCAGACATACTTTAAATGATTTATGTGTTACTTCAATTTAGAGATACGGTGCTTGATTTTAGTTTTTTTCTGGATAGACGCAACGACACGCAAATAAGCGTAATCTTGTTTTTATCATTGATAGGTTTCCATAATTCCTGTACCTTTTAACACATAATTATTTGCACGAACTAATCACGAGATTGCGCAAACCAACAAGATCTCTCCCATCAGACATTCGAACAGAATCCTACTTAACATAAAACCAACAAGATCTTTCCAATCAAATACTCGAACAGAATTGTAACTAACACATAGCCAACAAGATCTCTCCCATCGAAAAGAATTATACCTAACACAGAACCAACTAACACAACCAACGTTGAAATCTTAAAGTTCGAAACTGCCGTCTACTAATTCAGCAAAACCGTGTCTGACACGGACATAATCGTCAAAGAATTGGATAGTCGGAGCTTGGTACATCATATAAATCACGAGTCATTTAACCGACAATTTTTATCAGTTAATCACGAGTCATTTAATCGACGAAGTTGATAAAACATTGTCTTTTATTTTCTTTGCTATTTCACCTAACAGCAATTTTCGCATCAATTTTGTCAAACATTCTCTAGTAAACTAATCAATCTAACATCTAAAGAAAGATCAAGCCATTTGGTTCAATTTTAAAAAATTGTCCGAATATAATCATTGCAGTATGTTAGAATCTCAAAGTTGGGGGACTGTTTCCTGTCGATTCAGCGTATCCGTGACACGGACGCGCTCGTGAAGGGGTTGGGTAGTCAGAGCCTGGTGCATCATGCAGATCGCGAGTCATCCTATTTTTAACCTGGTGGCGTACGTGTAACACGGAAAGTGTCCCGATCTGGGCCAGTCCGGTACCCCACCCGATGATCCGGTAATCCGCCGGTCCCAGAGAGCCGCTGATGCCCGATCTCTCGGTCCCCCACGGTCCTATCCCCGTAGCTCCATCTCCCTCGGACCTTGTTCCTCGGCCGTGCTTCCATCCGATCCGGTAGGGTTTACTAAGAGAGCGACGAATCCTCCGAAGGTTCAGTGCGAAACGCGCTCTCGAACTCGAAGGATCCTTCGCCTCCTTTGATCCCCCACTCGGCGCAGAAGTGAACCGAAGACAAAGACAGAAACACTTTCCCCTAGGCGTCACGAGTCGCTCGAACTTCTTTGCTACCGGTCGCAAGTCGCAACACCGATCCGCACTCGTCTCGATCGTTCCTTTTTATCTCGATGAACGCCGGTCTCGGGGCTCGAGTGTCACTTCTTCGGCCATCGCGCGCGGACCAGCTGCTGATCTAGCGGAGATTTGCGACTGAACAACGGAGGATCGATCGCCGCCGGGATGATCGACAGGATGATCGTGACGGTCCTTCTTGGACTGCTGGGACTCGCACACGGTTTACGTGAGTTATCGAATTTTTCTTTCTGTTTCATGGTGATGGTGGCTCGTTTGCTATCTCAGGGGATTTTTCGACAAATGATCAATTTCTTTTAGTGTTTATTTTGCAACTGTTGAAATCGTAGAGATTTTTCCGTGGAATTGAATAGAATTTTTCATTCACAAAGCATTAATTCTACACAATTTATTTTGCAATTATTGAAGCAGTGAAGATCTTTCCTTGGGGAATGATTGAATAATGTAATTTATTCGAATATATATTATAATAATTGTGCAAGGTTTAAATGAATTAAATTTTCTCATTTGCTTAAATGAATTTCTTTATACAGGCACGTGTTATAATAAAAATCGTGCTACATTTAGATAAATTCAATTTTCCAATTTGGCTGTATAAATGTTTTTATCATAATACAAATTTATAAGACAACAAAGGTCAGTAACTTTTAATGTTCGATAGATTTAGTTTTCTTCCTCGTTCGACTCATATTTAACTTTTGCAAGCTCGAAGCGTGGAATTAATTTCAAACTTCTGATATTTGAGATCGTTGCATTTTTAAAATACAAATGAATGTAATAACGTCTGAATAATGGTCATTGTTATAAAAATATATTCAGTTGCACGTATAAGAGTTAAGAATGACACACATTTCTCGTACACAATTGTTGCGAACGTTGAAGGTATTGTGTCCTACATGCTCTCTTCACATTGTTTGACCAAATATAAAAGATGGCTAACTACACAGAACTTTTGTATAAATAAATTTGTTGGCTTAGCTAGTTTAGCTTTGTTAACAGCAAGAGAAATCTCATGTTGCGAAAGTAAGGAACGAATGAGTATTAAGTTAATTTTTGCTTCGTCTGCTTACGATTATTTGCACTGAATGTTTGATGAATTGTCTTGTGATTTATTCGTTAAAGAATTGAAAATTAATATTGTCGTGCACGCAAATCATTTGAAAATTCCTGTAATAAGCTGTCTTTGGTAGTGTATGAAACAATGCTAACGAGTGTCGCCGCAGTGAATGATTGATCACCCAGTCAATTCATTTTGCAGAAGAGAGCGCGAGTTAAAACCAAAGAGTGCGTAATGAACAAACACTAGGCTTTCTGGAATATGTTAAGATTGCTAATCACTTTCACCGGTCGCTTTCGATTAGATAATTTTCATCTACGAAGTTGTGCGAATCGTTGGAAATTAACTGCTCAAAAAACTATACTTTTGCTGCAGATAGTTTTATACTTCGGCGTGTATTTATTATGATTATTATTCAGTTTAATCATAATTTTAGTGCTCATCGAATAAAATTCGCAACTTTTATAGACAGTCAATGAGAAACTTACAATTAATGTGTAGTATCTTACAGTAATTAGCATGCTTCCGTTACGTTCGATGCGGCAAGGTTTGGGTTTATGAATGAGAGTGATGAATGGACGGAATCTAAACAAGAGCCACATGCTACGTAGGTCACGCCATTTTACGCTAATGAGCGCCTTTTTTCCATATAGAATAGTTGCAACAGAATTTCACGCTATAAATTATTCAACTCTATTTCATTCATTCTATTTTTATTCTCTGCAGAGTAGATGAAATCTTAGACCTCTGAATTTATTGCATTACAAATTAATATATCAGAATTATTGAATCTCTTCAATTTATAATACTTTACAAATTTTATTCGTAATGAATTTATTATGACATTTATTTATGTTTCTATATTATATTTATTTCATACGAATTTTCATTTTATTAATTTGTATTTATTTCGTAAAACTGTCATCAATGAAAGCTGCAAATTACTAAATTAAGTAACGAACTATCGAATTAACT